TTGTGCTTTTCGGAAAAAATAACAAAAAAAAAGTATATTTTATCGTTATAAACTAGTAGCTTGACGAAGTGTGAGTATACGTGCTATACACATATAATTATATATCTTTATATCGTGATTTAAAGACAGCTAGTTCAACTTGCTACCGCTTTATAACAATAATTTATAAAAATTTATTGTTAATTTTTTGGAAAAGCACAATCAATTATCTTCCAAACCATACAAAAAAAATTATTCTTCGCATAGTACACATGGGCAGGAGAGATTTTTGAAAAGAAAGACATTCCATATGTTTTACTAGTAAATTTTCGTGGTTCTGGCAGGGTATGTACAGTATGTTTCAAAATAAAATAAAATATGATGGTTTGCAAATAAACTTCTATTGAAAGTTGGCCTTCTATTGAGAGTTGGCCTTCTATTGAGCGTGTTTGTATCAGCAAATTTGCCAAAACAAAACTCATTTCTATGCTCGATTTCTACCTAAATATAAAGAATTTTATAGCAACGACAACGACACATCTCAATACTTTCGCCTAGTCGGTGAGTCAAATTATTTGCGCGCACATCCTTTAAAATTAAAATGTGATTTAATGTAGGTTGAAAGTGAATGTCTCTAACGTCTGATACACCGATCAGCCCCATATGTATACAATAACGCCATCGTAACTACGAACGATGGAAGTATTGACGTTATCCCCGAGCACACGAAGTATACTTTTAGAACGGAATTAAATGTGCCTAGACTTGACTTGCTGCACATCTTTTTTTAAGAAGTTTAAATTAAAACGTAGGTTGATGATGGTCTGTTGGGGAGGGAACAATGGTTCCACTTTAACAGCTAGTATTGGCACAATATCACTTGGCGAACCAAAGATGGTATAAAGACACCTCTCAAAATCGGTGTTGATGAGAAGGGTAACGATGTCTATATCCGTTCCCACCCGAATGATCTTGTCCTTGGCGGTTGGGACATCAAATCAAGTCCGTCTTGGTCGATTTCTTGGTTAATTCTGGCATTAAGCCCATTGGAAAATTACGAGTTACAATCATTTGGGGAATAACGACGGCAAGAACTGTGTCGGCTCCTCAGCAGTTTAGACCCAAGGAAGTTTCAAAGAATAATGTTGTCGATGATACGGTTAACTCTAACAAGATCTCGTATAAACCGGGACCGTGGTGAGTACGAAATAGAGATATAATATGCATTATTATTTGAATTCGCGTTTGACCTCTCTGTCTGCCAAATAGTTGTCGTAATCAAGTATGTTCCTGCTGTCGGTGATTTACCATAACACTTAATTTCTCAAAATGTACTCATTCAGAAGATGCCTGCAAAGCAGTTAACACACACGCCGTCCATGCTACTACAAATGTATCAATTGCCTATTTCTCTATCGTGTCATAAGATGTTACACAAAAGTGAATGGATTGATAATATTCACATCAGCTCCCAAATAATTCTGGAGATGCGTCTCGTTTGGTGTCTACCTTTCTCCCGCAACGCTGCTCGTTCACATTTTTCTTGCCTATTATTCTTACCAGCAACGCACTATACATCTCGACCTGCTCAAATATTTTTACCCACTCTCTCTGCTTCATATGGAATAATGGCCCAATTTAAGGTTGCAAAAACTCCTGAAGAAATGAAATACCCTTTGTTAAATTGGGATAAATTTCCAAACTTTGCAGAGATTAAGTCGTCACCTGTCGTGCCGGCATTTGATTTGTTGGTAAAGCGAGTCTCGGCGGAATTTGAGAAGAGGGAAGATGAATTCACACCAAGTTGGGAAGGAACTATGGGACTAGGTAAGTCATGAAGACGATGAGAGAATTTGAGTGCAATGCAAAAAATAGCGGTTGCTGTCGTTTGACTTGTAACTTTTTTCTTTGCAATTTAGTTGAAGATCTTGATGAGGATGTATTTTGCGCGTATAATATCGTTTCTCACCTTAATGGTGTTTGTAATTCCGAAGAACTTCGCCAAGCAATGGAAGTCATTCAAGTAAGCTGATTTAATTTTTGAAATAAAACTCTACTTCCTAGTTCAGTTTTAAGGTCAAATTTTTTCATCAATTTGCCAACCCTTTTTTTCCACATCAAGGCTAAGCATACAAAATTGGCGCTTTTGATGAGTCAATCTCTCAAGAAATACAAAGCACTGACTGCTCTTGTCTCCAGTCCTTCATTTTCCAACTTGAACCCAGTACAACAAAGAATAATCAATAAAACAATTCAGGGAATGCAGCTTGCTGGTGTGGGTCTACCTGAAGAGTCTCCAGAGAAGAATCGATTTAACGAAATTAAGGAGAGATTATCTCTTCTGAATCTTAAATTTCAAAACAACGTGTTGGACTCTACAAAGGCATTTAAGGAAATCGTGAATGACAGGAAGGAATTGGAAGGGTGTTCAGAGCGTATTTTGAGATTAATGGCTGGGACAGCTAAGAAAGAGGGCCTTAGTGATGGTGATTTCGGTATGAATACATGGGATTTGGCAATTATAACGAAATCATGATTATAGCTGCAGCTGAGACAATTTTCAATAGTTAAGGGGCCTTGGGTGGTGACTTTGGATCAACCCGTCTATGTTCCATTTATGATGTTATGTGATAACCGTCCTCTCAGAGAAAAGGTACTCAGCGCGCTATGTATTCTTGTCTTTGTCTTTTTATGTAACTAATCTGTGTTTTGTGTGTAGGTTTATCGAGCGTATATGACAAGGGCATCTTCTGGTGAAACTAACAATGCACCTGTAATAAACGAGATTCTTAAACTTCGTAAAGGTATTCCCCCAGATTTGTCATATCTATCAATACTCGAACTGTACAATTAAGCATAATATTATTTCCGTAGAGGAAGCAAAGCTTCTCGGCTATGAAAATTACGCCGCCGTATCGCTAGCTCAAAAAATGGCGGCAAAACCTTCGGCGGCCAACGCTTTAATCGAGGACCTTATCGCAGCTTCCTCTCCTGCAGGTAAACGAGAAATTGAAGAACTCACCGTTTTTGCCAGGGATACTCTCGGACATCCTACACCTCTTGCGCCATGGGACATTAACTATATCAAGGAACAATACCGTAAACACGTATTGAGGTTTTCCGAAGACGATATTGCACAATACTTTAGTTTTGATAAAGTAATTAGTGGATTATTTTCTTTCGTCGAGGAGGTTTTGAACGTCAAAGTTGATGAAGTTGATCAAAAGAAAGAAGGAATAAGTACTTGGAATGAAGAGGTTAAGGTGTTTAAGATTGCTGATAAGAATAGTGGAGAAACGCTTGCTTATTTTTACGGCGACTTTTACTGGTAAGTTTGGACTTGTTGCAAAACTTTACTACCGAACGCATAGGGGGAGTTATTGTTAAATTTATTTACTAGTCGAATAGAAGAAAAACGCTCTGGCGCGTGGATGGACATTTTACGCGCAAGATATAAAAACCCAAAGACGGGCGAAGTCAGACTTCCCGTTGGTGAGACATTAATCATCCATTTATCACAAAGTCGTTATCTACCTATCTTTACGCAAGCTCATTGATTTCTTAGCTTACTTGGTTTGCAACCAATCTCCGCCATCTAAGTCTGGACCTCCATCGACAATGACTTTTGCCGATGTCAAAACCGTGTTCCATGAGTTTGGACACTGTCTTCAACATGTCAGTATTAGTTTCTTCCATAATATTAACTTGCATTATTAAGGTCATCTTACGGAAATAACGAGATTCTCTTTTCGTAGTTGTGTACGATTGTTGATTTTTCTCAAGCATCTGGAATTAAAGGAATTGAATGGTATTTGCTGGAATTGAACTGACCGTTCAAAGTCTTTACAATTTCGTGGTTATATTCATTACTGATAAACATTTGTTTATTTAGGGATTTTGTAGAGGTGATACAAATATAGAATTATAAAAATAATGATAGTGTTTCATTAGGACTATAATAACGGTAATTCTGAATTGCAGGTAGCCTCACAATTTATGGAAAACTTCTGTTACGAGCCAGAATGGATAGCACGACTCTCTGCCCATCACGTATCGGGTGACCCAATGCCACAGGACATGGTCGATTCTCTCGTCAACCGTCGAAAGTTCTTAGCTGCAACAGATATGTTAAGACAGGTGGGAAGAGAACTACTCCCGCGTCTATTTGACCTAATTAAATGCTATTGCTAATCAGATTTTATTACTATTCCCATCTTTACTGCGTTCACAGCTCCACTTTGCATCTAGTGACTTGGCTTTATATTCGACTTTTTCACCATCGGATAATGGTGCCGAACAGAAGACTATTTTTGATCTTGATAGAGAAATAGCAGAGCGTATTCTTGTTGTTCCTCGTATGCCTGAAGATAAGTTTTTATGTGGCTTCTTGCATATTTTCGGAGGAGGGTATGCGGCCGGATACTACAGGTAAATCAATCGACTTACGTTAGTATTTTTTTTATTGCGCGATTGTAATGAGTATTATTTTATTATCAGCTATAAATGGTCAGAAGTATACTCTGCCGATGCGTATGCTGCTTTTGAGGAAGCAGTGGAAGGTTTGGCAGGGAAGGAAAGGATTGAGGCGATAGTGCGGACTGGGAAATTATATCGAGAGACAGTGTTATCACTTGGTGGGGGGACACATCCAGCAGAAGTATGGAAATTATTTAGAGGACGTGAATCGGCCGACATCAAACCGTTGTTAAGACATGCAGGATTGATTGCGTGAATAGCTCTAGTGGGGCAAGAAGGGAAATATGTTCATGTCGATATACAGAGAATAAATCGTTCTCAACCGGTTATTTTGTTATATCACATATAGAATTTTCGATCGCCACGTAGCACAATTACTGAAAATATTCTTTTATTCTATACTGTCGTATATGGTATTGGGTCAAACACCCATTTTTCATTCGAAGACTCACATTATCTTTGACAAATTAAATTAACGAAGCGACAAAAAGTTTTTCTTCAAAGCCCGGGCCAAAAGTTGGGCGAAGGTAGCTTTTCCCACTAACTTACGCACCAAATATTAATTGTAAAACTCGCCCAAAATAGGATTGTTTTGGAAGTAATTCTTCCATTCCAACGCGCAAACCATCATAGGCTGGTCGTACCCATAAGTCAGGTTCATTCTGCTGGAGCTCTTCCATTTCTCTAGTAAGGGCATAATGTTCTATTTTGTGTGCGAAACCAACTAGATAAGTCCTCTTTGGTTTAGGTTTGAGATTTCGGCTTGTATCTATCGCTTGATCTATTGAGAAATGAGAGGAGTGTTTGTTACCTGCAAATCTGCATGAGTTAGTATAATGTTGGTGTATATATACGGAAAACAATATTAGCCTTTGAATACTTACGATCAAGTGCATCTAATATGACGATTTCACTTCCTTCCATTTTCCCCAATGTTTCTTTGGGAATGAAATTACAATCAGAGACATAAGATATATTGTCAAATCTAAAACCGACATATATATACGGCTCATTTGTGGTGAGGTACACCCCATGATGTGCTGAAAATTATATGGTATATCATGACGGAGATGATTGATAAGCCAATGAATTGTCATAATGGTTAAACATTTACACAAACGATCGAATCGTACCTTCTAATGGAACAAACTCTAAGCCTTCTATGGTGAATGGAGTCGATACATCAATTATACTATAAGTGAACGCAGGTGTATCCCCACCCCCTACATAACAAGATTTATAGTGTCATTATCTGTTACAAGCCATCTTGAATTATCTTACCATTCACACTACCTGTGGCCTGCCTATTATCAACAATATACGGAAACGTCATCTTAATAGCTTCCATAGTATTACTAGTCAGATAAACAGGGATATGTTCTTGGATCTTTTGATTTAGCGTCCATGCTCGTAAATCATCAAGACCGTTGATTGCATCTGCATGCGGATGAGTCAATATCAATGCATCTATTCTTCTCAATTTATAATGAGGCCACCACTTTAATGCCGATTCTACCAATAATCAAGTAATCAAAACATTAACAATTTCACAATTAAACTCATCCAATTGACGACACAAATTAGCAGAAAAGGTCAAACAACCATAAAAACTCTTCCCGCAATCAATTACAATATTTCTATGGTTTTTCAAGATCATCTGAAAGTTAGTTCGCATAACGAGATCTAACAATTAATTCTCGTCCGCCTCGATATTTTCAATGAAACGAAACCCAAAACTTACCTCAGTCGACCATCGTCATGCTCCACTCGGATAAGTAAACTGGTGTTTTTTCTGATATTGACAGCGCCTCTTGGTTTGCGGGTTGATAAACAAGTAAGACACTTGGAATTCGGGTCCGTTAAGCAATCTATTACTGGTATTCCCGAAGAGGTTCCTACGTAGAACGACAGTGTTAGACCATGAATCTCTAATTAAACGGTCATATTCATATGTTATTGTATATAATATGTGATCACTATGCCTGTTCCAAGGAAAATTATCTCTTTGACTTTATGCTCATACATAATAATAACCTGAGGACCAAAACATTTACTATTTATTTATAGTCGAATTACAAAAAATTCTATCAGATCATTGGATCGTATAAATACCAGTATCCATTCTCTTTTTTTCCTCCTCTCTCACTTTTAACTTCATTGTCATCCATCTAAAAGATAATGGTGTGTACGACTGCCTGTCTATAGTTCGCTATAAAGAAATACAGTTAGATAGAAACGATAGCTTTTCCGCTTCATAACATATATCATTGATCGAACATTATTTCCATCCTTATTCTTATTATAGTCAAGATCCAAGAAAAAGGCCAAAGTTGAAGAAAATATATCCCTCGGCCCTCAAGTCCGCGATGGCGAGGAGGTCTTCGGAGTTGCCCATATTTTCGCCTCATTCAATGATACGTTTGTACACGTTACTGATCTTTCAGGCCGCGAAACTATTGTAAGAGTGACTGGTAAGTTTTATCGGCCGAAAAGACTTTACAAATATTCGGAGCGACTTAAAAATCATCATGCCCAGTATCAATGAATATATCACCGCTAGTTCCAGTTGCACTTCGACGGAAGCAAGGGTTGTCATTTATCTCCGTCCATCTGGAACTTTGATAAAGGGACATTTAAATTGGTTTAAAAGGAAGATTTTTGATTATCCGGCGGTACATGCAGAAGAGCTTTATTATTTGAAGCGCAAACGTCCCTCTAAAAATGGTGAAAGTCAGGAACACATGTGCCTTTGACATTTCCAAAAGATTAGGAGTGTTGCTGGGATTAGTGGTGAAACACATACTCCCAAGGGAGAACGTCTTCCAAACTCATATTTGTGTTTTCCCTCCTTTTTTCTTGACCTATGGAATCATTTCGTTCTTGATATCCATAAAGGCGGAATGAAAGTCAAAGCGGATCGTGACGAATCCTCTCCGTACGCAGCAATGTTAGCAGCTCAAGATGTTGCTGCTAAATGTAAAGAACTCGGTATTACTGCTTTACATATTAAACTTCGTGCAACTGGCGGTAATGGAACAAAGACCCCCGGGCCAGGTGCTCAGTCGGCGTTAAGAGCTTTGGCGAGAGCAGGCATGAAAATTGGAAGAATTGAAGATGTGACCCCTATACCTACCGATAGCAGTATGTGTTTTGCTTTTGTCTTATTATTTAGCACATTGGCCCATTAGTTTTTACGTTTGCCGTTCTTATTAGTGGGTGATTCCACTTTACCTATATTCCATTAATGCTTCATCTTTTACCTTGCCTTTCAGCTCGCAGAAAGGGTGGCCGAAGAGGTAGACGTCTATGAGATGTTGACGAACACATATTTTGAGTGTTACATTTGATAATAAACGTAGTACTCTTACTTTAATAAGTTCTTTTGCGACTTTTTTGTGCATATCGAACGTATCGCATTTAGTGTCTTTGTAACGGATGATAGGAAAAAGGGTTGCCTCATGTTCATACTCTTAGTAATTGATCCGCTCGTTAGTCATTCTGTATAATATGGCAGTCCTTGAATAGAAGATTATGTCTCCCGTTGACGCATCAAGTAAATGAAATTGTGGATGATGTTGTCTGTAGATGCACCAAACTTCAAGTAACCAGTTCGAGCAAGTTCTCTACGTCAAGTGTCGAGTCGATTGCCACATGTTAATCAACCTTGAGATTTGTCGAAGACTCTACTTCTAAATTTATGATTGACGAGTTGAGTTTCAACATTAAATGTGGGAGCTGATGCTCACGGCGTATTAGTATTAGTATGTATACTTTAATCCTAGAATGCAATCTTCTTACTGACAGGATTAACGTTTTCACGCTACCAGTATTCGAGGATTTCAGGTTGTTTCCCAGCGAAATTACAACATTTCTCTTCTTTGGATTCTTCTATTTCTTAATCTTTCACTTCACTATTAATAAGCAATGTGCATACAGGTATGCTAGACCAAAACAATCTCGGCAATGGACTTGACAATCCCAGCCATGTGAAAATAATTGTCAGATTGTATGGGTAGACAATGTTCATCACCAATAAAAATTCATGAATAGATAGTTATCCCACTTTAACAAACAAACTATTTTCTGATGTCAAGTGGCACTCGAGGTCTGTTATCGTAATAGAATGTGATTTTGTTGTCTTCTAACATCAGGTCAGTATTATTTAGACATCAATGGCCATCAGTCGACAGATGGTTTCAATATTCTCGAGAGATGTATGAGAGAAAAGCTAGTATGATGCGACAAACAAGTATCGACCAATATTTTAACTGCAACGAAATAAAGTATAGGATACAACAGGGAAAAAAATTAGATATCAAGGCTAATGGGATTACGAATGCAAGAAATCAATCTATGAGCACTTTATGGTCTAATCCCTTCCCTTTATCTACTTGCATTCCAAAGCTCTTTCAATCATCTATAATTATAATGGGATTAATGCCGACGTTCTCTTAAATCAGAAACTTTTTCCCACAACTCTTTTAAATGGAGAGAAAGTTAAAATTTAATCAATGCATTGGTACGCGCGTTTAACTATTTTCCATTTCTATATGCTGTTCTAGTAGATCTTCGTTATATGTTGTAAACAATTTACTTGCAAATAAATGATTGGACAAGAGAAAATCTTCTTATTCGACGCGTTACAGGATTGCATTATTATTATTATTATTATGTAGGATTTATTTCTAACAAATTCCGTCAGGAATATAAAGAGTGAATGGGCTAGTAAAAAACTCGCTCCTATATCGAGCGTAACATTTCTTATTTTTTTTATCGAATGTAACTTTCTTGTATCAGGCATTTTTCTCAAAATTGATATATGCGAGGGTATAATTAATATTAATATGGTAACCACTGTTGCTAATAGAGAAAGATTGATTTTAACGGGGTGGATATTAGAAAGGATTCATTTACGATTAAAAAATATTCAACTGGTTCATTATGATCTCTACTGATGGTAGATATTCAGTCTGGTAATCTTATACTGTACGACAAATATATCAATTCTAATTAGGAAATTTTATTGAAAGATGTAATTTATTTGTATAAAGTTCGGCGGTAAAAAATTATAAATACAGTCCGTTTTTCATTGATTAATTGGAAGACTATTTAGAATCGCATTCCATACAATTGTTGCAACACGGTCAAATTATTTGATATCTATAAATTTATATTTCTTTTGACATAAACTTTTGGGTTTATTTATTACCTTGCCAGGAATGCTTCAGTTATTCTCGAGCATGGTGTTGATTCTTAAAGGTGCTTTTCACTTCAACATAAAATTCTGCATCAATTATTTGTATAATGAGAATATTACATTAACACAATGTTAAATTATATTGCGAGTGAATTGTTATCAGATCGTGTTTCGCTCTACAAGAATAATAAGTTGAGATCAACATACAACAATTAGGTTTTGCGCAACATAATATTGTTTATAGGTTAATTCACACTCCTTTGGTCTCAGCTCACAACAACTCTGTAAGTATTGTCAGATTGTAGATAAAATGATGAATTGCGAGGGGTGAAAAAATATCAAATGCAACATAACAAACATGATTGGAACATAACAATTCATGAATCAACCGTCTCGATCTAAAAAGCAGTGATGACGTCTGAATGAAGACGTTACGAATCTGATACAAACCGGTTAAATTCCCAGAGTTAGACAAGAAACGACATGTAATTGCGAAAATCTTTCCTTTAAAGAAACATATATATATATTAATGCAACATCTCCAAGGGTTTGCGTTCGACTGTACTAAGAAACAAGAGGCAGGAAAACACCAATATGTATTATTTTGTTTCGCGGCTTTTTATGCTTTAATGTAAGCACTTATGGTTGTTTGTAGACTGTTAAAAAAGTTTTAGCCTTTGTTTTGCTCAATCCTAGCTTTTTGCTGTCAGATTCAAATACAAAATTTCTTGATCAAATTTGAATACACAGTGCAAGACCATTCGCGGCTTGCCAATAGTCCAGCCCTAAATCCCATAGAAAATTTATGACATTTGATCTAAAAATTGGGGAAAGGTTGTGCGGTTTATAGTCGAGAAATGGATTTCTACTTCGGATAAAATGTTAATCAATTTAGTGAGATTGATAAAACAAGTATTTGTGAAGAGATACTCTATCAAATTTATGGCAATAAAACCTTTGCTCATAAGTTATTAAATAAGGTATAAAGCTCATTCATTACTCTGATCATTATAACACAACAATCAATAGTTCTTTTGCCATATTTCTGACAGCTAAATTGGGTAAATAAATTGATGGAGCACATCATAAACGACAATGTATTTTATTTATAGTCGTTCGGCTTAAGAATAGGTTAACAACCTGGAATAATGAATATAAACTCATCTAGCAATATCAGTGTTACGGCGATTTGACCCGTTTCAAGATTGTCACGACGTTATCACATATTATGTTGCAAGAGATTATTCTAATGTGACAATCCCGAAATCCCAGATGGGTCAATGTTAATATGAAATTCAACGTTTATTGACAGTCGTCTACAAAAATGTGGTAACAAGAGACTTTCGAACTTCACATGTTTGAATCATAGATTGCCAAAGGTGAATATATACGTAGCCGCCTTCGACATTAGTAATTGAAGCGAGCACGTTCTGTTTAGAGCTAAGTTGAGAATATTCCCCAGTCAATAATTGAACACGACGCTCTCCAAGGCGATCGCATATAACAGATGGTAGTGAGAACTCTTATTACCTGTTATTGTCAGACTAGTGAAAGATGTTTATGACCTACCACACTGAAGTCTAAGAGAATGTTGCGGGTTTTGTTTGTAGTGGTAAGATAAGCTGTTAGTCTTAATTAAAGGGGAAAGATGACAGCAAAATGTAATTGTCTTTCAATAATATATTAGAGTATACTTTGCTGGGTGATAACAACCAGCTCACACAACAAATTCAACTAAATGTAACAACATGCGGAATAGTCATGAACATACCATTTCCACTGATAATCTATATTTCAGATCCTATAAAGAATATGTATATTAATAACACCGCTCGTATTAATAACGATACATATCATCCATTTCTACGGTATATAACCTGCTTGTGAGTACTGAATAATCTAATCTGATAGAGTTACGGTTTACCAAACCATTTTCGTTCATCTCTTCTTGAAACCATATTTTTTTCGTTCATAGAACAAGTCCGTCTTCGATGATCCAAGGTTCACAATCTTTGGGCACCCATCTCTCTAAAATAGTAAAATAATAAGCACCTATAAATCATTTACAAACTCAATTATTGCGACAGCTTACATCTTTCTCTTGCAAGACACACTCTTTGCAGTAATAAGCATCAGATACACCAGGGGCACCACAGATCACACACCGTCCCTGATATGAGCCATAGTTACATTCGTCGCATATGCTATAAAAAAGCAGATGTCAATTACTAGACCAGCTCCAAACAACATTCCTATGAACAATTAAATTAAAATTACCGTACAAGCGTATCTGGGCGTACATATCTAATTTAAAGACGTCGCATTAGTCTTCGTTTATCTTTTTATAAATCAAGTCAGCGATACAATCTATTCATACTTACGAGTCACAAATAACACATTTGCCATCGCATTTCTCACACAAACGACCAATAGCTTAGAATAGAACTTTAATTAGCTCAGTGTTCAAGTTTTGTATTGTCTACCTGCTATTTATAGTTCACCTATTCCCGGTTGCTTTCTGCACATAATCAAGTCTGGATGATGTTTCGCCATGGTTGAAAGTCAAATACATCATCGAGCAACAAATTTATTTTATCCCCGTGCCGGTTTATAATTGGTCGAAACAACAAAAGGTGGTACAAGATAGATCACATGACTAGACATTATCCAATAAAGTTTTTTTTACTTACTATAAAGAAACATAGAACTTACATTGCGAAAGTTCGCTAAAAGAAATTGTTACCGAATTCCCCAGTAACGGGTTTGGTAGCTCCAAATTTAGTGATGGACTGAAAAAAAAAAACTAAATTCGAGAATATAAGATTAAAATGATAAATATCTTTTTGACAGTTCTGTCTGAGTCTTCGACATCTGCTATTTCTTCAAGTGGGAACATAAATTCTTTGCACAAGTAACCAAATTATCCTGCCTGGCTTTCTCAAAAGACATTCTTCCAGGAAATGGGTAGTTTTTGAAACCCTTATTCTAGCATACCTTCTAATATATTCCAGATAATATTAATATGTGATCGTCCCATATCAATTTTCACTTTAGGATAAATAAATAACCCAGAATGATATACAAAACATTCTACATATTCAAGTTGTCTTTGTGAACATTTGCATATGTGAAACTTCTCCCTTAATTTGTACCTTTGTAGAAACGAAAAAGTGTTTCAACGCGTGTACTTATTCTTATCTGCGTGATCAAATATGCATTTATTGCATGTGATAGATCTCATACTAATAGTGATAAATTACCAATACTGAAAGCACGCGTCTCATTTTTTTACTATAATAACTATGCCAAATAGTTCTTTCACTGTTGATTCTCTTCAAAAAATGACCCGCATAGAACTACAGCAGTTGTGCAAGAAACATGGCTTAAAAGAAGGCAATAAGAGAAATATCGATATAGTAAAAGCTCTGCGTCCTTTCGCTAGTGATCATACAGTCCGTGCTCGCTCAACGAACAGAGAACCAACAAGATTAGTTAATCAACACAAACGTCTGCGGGTTGGTAGTCCAGATGAGACAGAGACCGAGATCGGTCGTTGGCTAAAGAGCAAGGGACTTGCCGATATCGTGCCTATATTTGCTCAAGAGGGATTGTTACGTGACTGGCAATTATTAGAACGTTTAAGGTTCGATCACATAAAAGCAATGGGTCTGTCAACTGCTTCTTGTATACAATTAGAGATTGCATTAGATGGTAAGTTACTTTTTAATCTCTATAACGTTGTTATATTATATCTGGTGATTAACAATTACACATAATTTTCAAAGAAAAATTTGGACGTCAGCATACAGATCCGCGTTTGGATATCGCTACAATCGCCAGTTCTGTTTCTAAAATTGAAGCAGAACTGAGTGATCTCAGAATTTCACTCGGATTTCTAAAACAAGATATTCGAGAAGTAAAGACCACTGTGCAGAAATCAGACGAGAATATTACTAAATTAGAGAGTGAGGTCGATAGAATGGATCAGCGCCCATTACTGAGAACCGAGGAAATCAATTCTATTACTATACGTCTGGGTGAATACTTGAAGAAGCAGGCAGCTAGTAAGGCTATTTCTAATGTTTCCTTGTCAATTTTTATAGAAACTGTTGATTCCCGAACTGATTCAAACTTTCTTTTTTCTCAAACAGCTCCAGAAGAGATTGCAAAAGCGCGACGACTCAACAGACTCCCATTTATTGCTCATCCTTTCTAGCATATGCCGTGAATATGTGGCTCGACTCTATCTATAATTAGCAACGGACAGTATAATACAGGCAACTATTTAATGAACATCTCCCACATAGTTTCAGTAATATCTGTAGTGATCTTTTGATATTTGTTCAACTTGCCGTTAATGTATTAGAAACAGCGAGGAGAGGCTGGACGTATGATGAGTAGGGATATTGGAAGTATTGTAAGTAGCATCGACGGAAAATGGGACGATATTAAGCGAGCTTTATTTGATAATAGAAGATGAAGGTGAAGAATTAATATTTGAAACTAAATCTTGACCTGCCTCATCCTCTTTACACTGGAAATTAGCTGTAGAGAATATATTTTTATCCATTATCAATAAGGATTTCCCATCTGGACGCCATCGGATGTTGTTTACACAGAAAGTTGCTGTAAAAAAAGATGGCAGAATAAATCATCTGCGCTGTCAAGTTGATTTTGCAATAAATATTTATAAATGTGAAATGAGTACTTACTGTTGGGACTTCTACATGATAAATATACATCTCATGAGCGGACACAGAGTATTGGATCCACTGCAAATGGCCAGCTGATCAGGATTAATTGGATTCCACAGGAATTGCTTGACCAGTTTTAATTGCACGATTAATACAATGGGTTGTATGCTACAGATATCCCATATCCACACACGCTGCGGCATATTGTCTAAAAAGAGTAACAAGTTAATGAGAGGGTTACAGACTAGCGACGGGTGCATCATGACGTACGGACTTGCCATTGCGTGATGCCAGCAGAGTCCCATCTGCATTGAATTTACAAGCGCCGACACCTAATCTCGGTTGTCCTTTCTCCGGACCCACGCGATTGGCTAGAAGTTCATGTGGTTGTTCTTCTTTAATGTCTCATGAGAAATCCGGGTTATTATCATAGGCAGGTTAATAACAATCTTGCTTTGCATATGTTTAATACTCACATGTAATTACTGGTCACGCGCAGGCATTTCAACATCCTCTCTTAATATTGTCTTTAGTTTGGAGCCATATCAGTCATATTTACTAATATTTATGGTTATGCTAAATTAGAAATGCTTACCAAGCCTTCGACATTGACAGCTCCGGCGTGATAAAATTCTATCATTGGTTCCCATGTGTACTCTTTGCCGATTTATAGAGAAAGCTTTACTTAAGCCATTGAAGGACAATAGTGTTAAACATTCAAATGAATTTCAGGTGCGGGATTTAACATTTCGGAAGATTTGACGCTACTACTACGAAGAGAATTTTGGGGTTTAAGAAGTCAGAAACTGAACTTCTCTTGGACGACGCTCTTGGTTTGCCATCTGATGTTAAAGAGAGGATAATAATATGGTTAAAGGAGGAAAATGACGGGTATTTTTTAATCCTTATCAAACTGAAGGCGTTTTCAACCCTGCGAGGATTCTTTATTGCATTAAGCAGATGATGGTGCAAAAGAAATTTATAGACAATTGTATTCAGGATACTTCAAATTATCATCAATAATCTTGGCTTTCCTCCCGATCCACAAACATTGCCCTCTCAAACAACATTGGACTTAATTGTTAACAATCCCCTTGGAAAATCCATTCTTACTGAAGCACTCAATCGACGCCCTCTCGAATCTAAAAATTGCATAGAACAGCGATTTCGACTCACCAATATTCGTGAGCTAGCAACTGATCGTACCACCGTTGTTGGTACCTTACATATTGTAGTTACCGAGAAAGCGTAGCTACAGAAGGAACTAGATTAGATAATCCTAGTTAAAGGTGCAAAAGCTTCCGTCGGAAAAGGACTAACGGCTAGCTTACACTTGGGTGTACATAGTCCATCCAATTACTATAGCCAATGCCAAAATTCCTGTTCATCTAAATATTTTAGATTCTTCAATAGCTCTTACCTGGGCAAATTCTGATCAAATCTGTCTCGATTGCCAGTCTCAAACATACTCACAAGACCTGTCCTCTCAGACAACCTCCTAAACCAAAACCATGCTCAAATTGCTTCCACTCCTACAACCATAATGTTATAAGGAATTAGAAACATCCTTTGGTATCAGCCAGGGATCGGTGCAGAATTTCACGATAACGACAGATGGCCACCAATCAATCAATCCAAGAAGTAGTTGAAGGTTTTGCTCCACCTGAATTTAGGAAACGCATACCTAACGTAATTGGAGCCATCATATTCCAATTCAACAACCGCAAATTGAATATAATTAATCGTAAAGTATTAATGGCTATAGTCGATCATGCGGAGAAATTACCTACATTTATACTGGTCAGCCAAGTAGCATGCATGATTCGAGGGTCATGTAGTAATTAATGTAAGTATTCAAAAGCAAAATGATTGGAACGAAATTATACCACATATTAAAAGTTTCAGAATCCAGCCAACGCTTGGGTTGCGGAAGCCGAGTCACAGAGTCAGACTCTTACGGGTACCATGACTCAAGCAAAACAAGCGATTCTGGAGGTTATTTCCAAAGCATTCAATAGCATAATCATATTATCCAATAAAGTTTTTTTTACTCACTATAAAAGAAGCATTATAGAACTTTACAATGTGAAAGTTTGGACACAAACACTCTCCCAGGTGACCAAATACAAACATAATATTTATTTTAAGCAAATCAAACCTCTCTAAGCATATGTAACCACCATACCAATAAGGTTTACATCCTTTAATATTCAAAAAAAACAACATTTCCCTATATTAATAACATAAGTGACAAAATAATAGTTTACACAGTAACTCGACTAATTGTTATCTTCTGATTCTACTAATTTAACTGTCTCTGTCTTTCTTTTAAACATGTCTTTAAATACTTGTACAAATTGCTCTGGTGACATGTGATCAACTGCTTCCATTAGACTGACAACATCCTTATCAGAATATGCCTCAGTTCTATCATTATGAAAGTCTCCTAAAAAAGTAGCTTTGAAATGTCTGACAAACCGCTCTGGCGTTGTCTTGTCAATTCTTTCTACTAACTTTTTCAGATTGTTTTCACCAAAAAGCCGTGAGATATCTCGCAACTGTCTGATTAATCCGTACTTTGATCCATAATTTGCATTAATTTGCTTGCGTAACTTTTGTGGTAGTAAAGCAGTAGTCAAAGTGTCCACTAACTCCGGCCCCATTCCTGACACTTTTGCAAGATATTCAACTAGCGGGTCTGCCAGAGAGGTTGATAGTCTCAGTTCTATATCTTCTTCCAATCGTTCTATATCCTGTAAAAAAGTATATAATAAATTTGGAGTGAGGAATACATTTTGCAATGAGAATAACACTTTATTAATCAATGGCATAAATGTATTTAACCAGTGAAAGATCCAAATCGTTGTTATGTTCTTTCTTCTGTCCAGTTAATTTTTGCAAGCTGATAATAGCATCTTTCAATTTTGTCCTTATCCTAACATCCGGTTGTGTTAACTCAAGAAACAGCTGTCCAAAATCAATAGGCATATCTTTGGGGAGACGTTTCTTCAACTCAAAATGTTCATTCCAAGCCATCTTCTTGGTCACTATTTCTTGTGCTAATAAGCCGATATAGGGTGTTTCACCATTCAAAGCAACTAATTATACAACGTAGACATGTTGACATGAATGACGCGCCGAATAAAAGTATGATGATTACGAGTGATATGATAATCACCTGACCATAATATTAAACCAAATGAATAAACATCCGACATCTCGGGGTTCCTGCGTGAAAGCAAGTCTCATATCAGTCATATATCACTAATTACTGTGGCTGAAATTATTGCTTACTCTCTGAAGTCTTCTTTGTCTGTTGAAGTACCCTGTAATCTCTCTTAAATAATTTTAAAATCAGTTACTTGAACTTGTTAGTAAGGCCGCCAAAACCTCTTACCAGGAGCTAGCCAATTGTATGTCCCTCCCGTTTCTTCGAATTCGTCTCTAAGCTTAGTTTTTATCTTGCTCATTTCGAAATCCTGTCATGTTTAACAATTTCAGAACTACCGTAACACTTTCAAAATTAGGTGTTTTCGCTTCGCTTCAATACTTACTGCTAACTTTGGAATTTCATCATCGTCGACTAACACGTTTTCTGGTTTCACATCTAAGTGTATTATGTTTTTCTTATGGCAGTATTCTAAACCTTCAGCAATCTGTTGGCACATCTTTATTTTCTTTTCCCATGAAACCGAATGATGCTGCAAGTAGTCAAAGAGGTTCCCATGGCGGGCGTATTCAAGCACAAGCGAGATCCTTTCACTATTTTCGTTTTCCTGGTCCTTTTCTACCAGCAGGCCGTAGCATCGGAGAATATTAGATGAGCCGAGGAGAGCATCATATTTTTCAAATTCTTCCACATTTCTCGTAAGCGATTTCTAGCATAACGGATTATTGATGAAAGCTGGGACACGAGGGTTCATATTCAGAGAAACATTCTTCTGTTCTATAATTGTACCTTTGTATGTTTTATAGCAACTGTCAATTGTTCTCCTTCATCGTTCGTATATGTAGCTTTATAAATTTTAGATTTATCGCTTTCACTTAATAGTTCGCGAGGTTCCTTGTAAGTAATTCTTCTTGGAGGTACTAGCAGCGAGCGTCTATACATGATAGTAGGTAAGAATTCATTTTCAGAATAATGCAGATATTATTAACCGCAGTAGATTCGTTTGTGCTTTGTTTGCCTGAATGAGGTTGTGAATGAATATGAATATAGTTAGTACCATCCAGATAAGGCACTTTTCCTGCAGTAAAGTAAAACATAAACGTGAAAATGATGGTGGGATTTTGCGATAAGAATACGATCTCATAAAACCATTTGTTTTTAAGATGGTGGCAATTCTTGAAAACAGCCAATCAGTGAGTGGCGCAAATTTCCGCGTTTCGTTCCATGTTTTCTTCTGCAGTCCTTAAAAATAGCATTTATTTCACTCCCATATTCATAGATTTTATTAATAAACGACTTACAAAGAGGACCTGCACGAACGGATATACAGCGTGTAACAAAAAAAACGTGAGGCACAAGTCAGAGTATTAGCTGTTCCGTCTATGGTTTGATTTGTATTTCATGTTCAGAAAATTAATTGACCAGGATAATAATAACTTGTATGTCAAAATAATTTTAGTTTTTCATAGCACATCGAATAAACAATCTGGACAGAATTACTTGGATAAATTTTATGGCATAAGTAAAAGGAAAGTATGGAACGTTAAAACGTGAAAAATTTGGCTGGTAATTTGTCCAGAACAGACTATAATTCAATTTTTAAACTCAATAAAACGAGAATGTAAGTCTGTAAAAACTAAGGAGAGCATATTTCAAAATAATAAATCTACATCTCTTTAGCTTTTTAACGAGCCATTATTTGTTATAGCGGACATATTTGTAATTACGTTTTTTGTTACACATGGTATTCGACATTGTGGTTACATACACTCTCGAATCATCCTAGTTATTTCTCGTAAAGCTACTAATGAAGAAACTTGAAACTATAGCCGAGGCCCGAGACGCAGAAAAAATAATTGGCGAGAAATGGCCGAAATTCTAACATGATCTTTATCTTTAATGAACAATTATTTTTCGCTCAATAGAATGGTCATCTCAATAGCTTCGATTCGGTTTAATTAAGGCGTCTTTTTTAACATGAATGAATGACATCTAATAATCCAACTATTACACTAAACCATAAGACAGGCCGCTTTTAAAATTCAAGTTCTAGCCAGAAACGCAATCACAAGGTAAAGGGGCGAAGCCCCTCATAACTCAAGCTCTAGTTACAACCAATAAATGGCGATTTACATCGTCCTACCCCTAGTATAATACCATTATCCGATCAAAGTACCCATGGTACTATACAACAAAATACCACTGGTCTATTGGAGTGAATTAGATATCGTTTTCCCCATCCCTGTGGCTTATATGATGGAAGAACTGGAGCACGAATATTAGGCTATCTATCAAAGCCAAGTCCTTTAATGGCTTTGGTCAATTTGATATAAATATTTCCAAATTTGTTGTCCTTTCGTACCAATTTTCATTTACTTTTTATAGTATAACCACACCAATTGCCACCAATTGCATTAATGGCCTTTATAGCTGATTTAAGATCCGGTGTTTCTTTGCGCGAGATTTAAAGTCGAAGAATCTTTCACGAGATGTCTCAAATACAACTTTCACCTGATTCGTCTATAATTCAGTGAAACCCAACGATTGGAAAAGCCTTCATACAGCTTCCCAATGATTCGCTGAATATGTTTTCCTTTTTGATCGATATGCTATACCCGTCACAGAGAAAATATTACATCCGTCAGACATAAATATTTCGAAATGCTACACGCGCCAGACATGTTACATCGCACACAGCGAAAATATTTCCTTTATTATTTCAAGCTGTCTATTTGTCGGCAACCCGGAAGAAATTATTTTCGCTGCGTAATATGTTGTCGGATAGATTGTCGTTTGATCCAACATGCGCAAAAGAAAAAAAATATATATTTGGAACCTCTTTATTATTTAAAGAGGTCTGCCTCACTTTGGAAAAAAACCCCCCAACTTTCTCCTCTAAAAAAGCTCTTTTTATAAATCTTTTCCATTCAACAGAAAAAATGAGTGCAGATTTCGGATCATAGCGCAACATTCTGGAAAGGTCTTTGACATTAAGGATGGCTCCAACAACGTTAATGCTGAAATTGTCCAATATGCCGAAAGAGATGAGGACGTGTGTATTGCGTTCAAATGATGTTACGGGTATATTTCAGTTTATCAGATTGTTTTTTCTATTTTAGTATGATAGCCAGCTCTGGTTTATCGAAAACCTTGACGGAAGATACATCAACAGCCTTGACGGAGGCTACCTCAAAAACAAGAAATCCAATCTATATGTTGGTGTCGCGGGCTGTATGTAATTTGAATTGAGTGCTGAAATCGAAACTTATTTTCGAATTCTAATACTAACACACTTTTCTCTCTTAATCCAGCCGATAATAATTGTAAGATTTCTACAAATGGTTGGATTCATAAATTTATTATTCTTCTAACCTCGTATTTTCACCAAAAGTATCAAACATAGTTCAAGTTCCCAAGGATAGTGATATTACAATGGGAAGGATAATACTATCAGCTTGCTCGATAATTCATTGTTATGGACATTTTGGTATGATTTTGTAATATCACTGAAATTGCTTCTGACAAAAAATTGAAGATCTAACCCTAGCTGTTCTTCACGCCGGTTATCTTGTACGAACGCAACGATTCACATTTTGTTTTGAGCAATGGGTTATAAAGTAGTTAGTCATAACAATAACTTGATTTGTATTGTAAAGCAAATTTCGGAGTTACAGCTTTACTTTCTTTTCGATCTGTAGTTAATACAGCATGAATGCGATTTCTCCTTATGATTATCAGCTGTACGTCATGATGGCAATGTAACCAACTTGCTGTATTGTCATTGAAGGATAGAAATGTTTGCTTCGTCATCCTAGCTTTTTAGTTAAGAATAAAACGACACATTGCAATTAGGTTCATTGAGTAGCATTATAACTAAATCTTTATCTTTGATGTAAGTGTCTATTTAATCACCACGTAATTACGGTATCCCATTGTGTCTATTAGTGGGGACGCTGTCAAACATCGATGTTTAAATATCCTATGGTAAATCAAAGAGTAATGGTGATTCATTTTCATCATTTATTGATACTCAGACTATAGCCAGGCGTATAATCGATGTGAATCTTCTTATCCTACTCCTCGAAGCAAACGCAAAACGTGAAGAACTTTCTTCATACTACATAGTGGAGAGTAAATATTTAAGATGAAATCATCTCGACAATTGCTGCTGCCGCAGCTTCTCTTCACGGCGCACCTATAGTGTAACAATTTTTCAGTTATGCAATTGCAATGTTATGCATCTGACAAGTATATTGGAAGGAAATTAGAGAATTTGTAAAATAAGAAAATCAACTTCTCTTCAACCCTTTGTTACCATAAGTAGCGACGCGTAAATTGTAGGTATTTTCCATATACTAGGAAGAATAAATGCAACAATGCCATCGCATGAGCATTCCAAACGTGCTGTGCAACCAATCAAAAAAATCAATAAATTACTCTCTTTGACAAAGTACACCCTCTTGGCATTTTAATGCCCAAATCGCCTGGCTTGATAGAACCGACCGCTCCCATTTCTTCCTAACAATTAGAACCTTCTCAGCATTCGCCTTCACAGATATTTTATTGTCATAAACTGAAACTCATTTCATAAAATATTAGCGTATTAAACCTGCTTCTATGGGGAAATCTGAATTGGGTAGCTGATATCAGAGGTTTGCAGATTTAGGGTATCGTACGTTATAAAACATGTCAGGTATGAATACAGCGGAAATCTGATTGCCACCAAACCAGCGACCATTAAGCCCATTGACTGCATTTTGTGCGGAAGTTATACTGTCGAATTTCATGTATATGTCTCCCTAAAAATTGAAAAATGCGTGTCTGAGTCGACCATTTCACCTTAAGAAATATTCATGTAAACAGTACTAACCGCTGAATCCTTATCTACACTAACATGAACCAATGGTCCATATCTCATACACTCATTTTTTACATCCTCTTCGAGCTCTTCAGCCCAATTCGGCTCTGTCTCCCTATTGTACACAAAAATTCAAGGAATTATCAATGATATGCGGGAGAGAAATTTCATGCTAAGCAACCGAACTTACTCTTCTGGTTTAAACATATTTTTCAACAAGACACAGCGAGTAGGATTGACCCTCGGTTGTATAGGACGCGGTCTATCAAATATCTCGGGAATGAGTATGAATGGTCAAGCCATGCGTGTAAAATAAGAATAAGAAGAAAATGCTTACGGCTCCGCAGGGGCAGAAACAGTTGTCGGTGTAATCAGATCGGTGTCACGAGCCAATTTCTGCATCAACTCCACTCGCGACTGAGCATTGAGGGCTAAACCAGCAACATCTATGCAGGAAATAAACAGTTACTCCCAAGTACAGAAACCTGAAAGAATAATATGACATTGCGAGAACATACTGACCACCATCGTCAAGATTTAAATTCATGCCATTGCTTTTGTCAGTAACTAAACCTACTTTAATCTAGAAAAAGGTGATTATTAACGAGGTTGAAATAATTAGCCCGCCGACAGATACTTTAATCACTTACTGTCCTCCCTGCTAACTCAAATCCGTTCATTTTCTCTAATGCCTGCTTCGCATCTTCTGGGTTTTTATATCTAACAAAATGAAATATAAAATTTTTATTATCACTTAGAAACTAAAGAGGATAAAAAGCTTAAAGTGTGTTCCACTCACTGAATAAAAGCGAATCCTCTTGATCTACCGGTTTCTGGATCTTTATGAAGATTTACAAACTCTAGTGGTCCAAATGGCTCAAACACTTGTCTCAAATCATCCTCGGTCAAGTTGAAATGAACAGATCCGACATATAGCCTGTGATAGGCTATGTCTGTTGCGTGTGATGCCCTGAAAGAAAACTACTTTAATCTCAACCAAAACGTTGCAAATTATAGTATTCTCACTTTATACGTACGCTGCTTCCGCCAGTCTGGCCTGTCTATTCTTTTCTGCTTCGGTCAATTGAACGACAACAGGGATACCTAAGAGTTTCTGTTCAGATAAAGCTAATGCTTTAGGCACCGATTCTTCATCATAAAATTCTACATAACCAACTCTGTACATTGAATGGCGATTTGCAAATCAGTCATTGTGTTAAGATAAAAGTAATCTAAATTTCAGACCCACCCTTTAGATCTTCTAGATATTCTATCAGCAATAATTTTTGCATCGCGAACTTTCCCCGCTTCTGAAAAGAAATCTGCTAGTTCTCGAGTTCGAAGACGTGCTGCAAGTTGCATTACGAATACCGTACGTTTGTCTCGCTCTTCTTCATCTATGGGCGGTGTAGGAGACCTGCGTCGACGCTCGCTGTGTAATAACAATAACAATATAAACAAAACATTGACTCGGCTCTATCCAGCAAAGAACAAATTAACTTGACAAGCAGCATCTGAAAACCTGCCTAAATCGACTTGGGCTGCGACTTCTCCTACGCTGGCTACGACTTCGCCTTTTATCTCGGGAACGTGATCGACTACGTCGTCGTCGATCTCTGTCTCTATCCCTGTCTCTATCCCTGTCTCTATCCCTGTCTCTGTCTCTGTCTCTATCCCTGTCTCTATCTCTGTCTCTATCTCTGTCCCTGTCCTTGTCTCGGTCCTTGTCCCTGTCCCTGTCCTTGTCCCTATCTCTGTCCCTGTCTCTGTCTCTGTCTCTGTCTCTGTCCCTGTCTCTGTCCCTATCTCTGTCCTTGGATCTTGAACGACTACGATGTCTTCTGGGCCTGTCTCGCGACTTTGATCTTGACCTACGTGAACGATGCGATCTCGAACGAGAACGATGGCGATAACTGGAGGAACGTGAGGAACTTCGACGACGTCGCCGCCCTTCACTGGAATGTGTACTAATCGACGCAATCAAAAGATGTTAAGGATCGTATTAAACCCACAAACTAAGGTAGTTTCAACAAACCTTTTGTCTTCTTCCTTTGAGGGATCATTGCCTGCATTGATCATATAAACATCCGATATAGCCTATTACAGTTGAGAACGGCTAAGATTTATATAGATCTTGTGGACAAAGCAAACTTTCCTAACACTAACTACCTGACCCTTCTGAAAAGGTGCTTCAAGCATTGCTTCCACGTCAAGATCGTCTGCCATGTTTGTAGGAATGGATCGAGAACGTCGGCTTTTTGCACGACTTGTTGAGAATTAATTCTACATGTGCAGAAAAAAAGATCGAATGACGTAAAATTTATTTATTATCACCTGACTATAATAGGGAGCAACATTTCAATTGCCAAACAATAAGTAAATTCGCTAGTATAGTCGAGAAAGCAAGTTCTTCTTTTATAACGAAAAGTGATCTTTGAATTTCGAAATAATACTAATTACACATTACTTGTTACTGAGGTTCTCAGAAGATAATGATTCAAAGCATACAAGCCATCTGGCCAAGGTATTTCTCAAAGAAAGTAGGCCATAAGTCATAGATTGACCATCGAGAATAATAAATAGCTCACACTTTATTATATCCATAATGCAATGCATAAGTATCGTCGAATGTACGATTAAATTTGTGTTTTTGCAAAAGTCTTCATTGGTTTGCAATATTTATTGCCAATACATAAAGATCGCTTTGACATACGTGCATTTTCTAGTATATGCTAACTCGTCGCAAGAACCTATTGTTGGAGAGTATGAACTTCCGTCTGGAAATCGTACCAATTTTACTTCAATACTTTTTTGACGATTCGCATCCACGCGCGAAGCGAGTGCACTCTGTACATAGTATTTATGTAGTTCTAAGGGCGTGTCCCAACCCAAACGAACATAGAGAGGATTCCTTTTCATTTTCGCTCTATTCAAGTCAATTACAATAAATTGCCGGCCCTGCAAATTATATCAACAGCGTGTTACGCCATTTTTTTGTACATACCGTCCCTCTTTCAGGAGAAAATTCGTCAATGTTTGGTATTTTATCGGCTTTACCGATCGGAACGTAACATTTTCGCAACATGGCTTCGGACTAAACGCAATGATTTGGTAACAATCCCTCAAGTGACGATATTTGAGTTCTTTAAGATGATGTCCAATCAACTCTAGATCATCATTTTTATATAGCATGTTTCAGTGTACCACAGTCTTGTTTTCCATTAAACATTCGATACATCTTGTCCCCCAAGTAAAATATTGACAATCATATTCGTTTTTCCTGATTTAGTTCGATCAATAAATTGAAAGGCCATTGCGGGTGTCGAATTGAGACCGTTAACTCTTTCTGCATTTATACGAGTTTGGCACTGAGCTTTGTTCATTCTATTTAACAGAGTTCGAATGAGTGTTAAGATAAGTAATAAAGTTATTCTATCAAGAAATACAGTATATAATAGATTTTATAAATTATTGTTATTTGCAAAGCAAAACCCTCTGACTGAAGAAGCAAAGCCTCAATGTTCCGCAACAGAGGCTCGCTCTGCGGTCGTCTTTATAGCTACGATCACATCTCTTAAAACCTGATCGCAATATCCGATGTCGAGTTTTTGAAGATTACGACAAGAATTTATAATACAATTAATGGATATATCGGTGATATTACATTCTCTAAGAATAAGTTCTTTTAAAGTAGGACACGTTTGAACTAATGTACAAATAGACACATCAGTTATATATTCTCGTTCAGATATTGTTAAACCGTTGGAAGATAAATTAGCTCTAGCTCAAAAAGAAAAAGATTCCGAGTTAAATAAGTTAAAAACTGAGCTTACGCGTTTAAGATCGGAAGCTATTCACAAAGCAAGAGGAGTAGGATTGCTACTTTGCCACATCCATTTTATCTGGTCCTCTTCACGTTGTTTTCGTACGCCTGGGTTTTTATTTGCTTTATACAGTGTTATATCGTGGAAAAATACGCGCTTGATTTTAGAATTGTTATGCGGTCGGTATAATCACATGACTCTAAACCAATGATATAATCAACCTATTTGTAGACACCACGTTGTGAAGTGGTGGTAAAGCACAGAGGGCGACTGCGACGGACTTTGAACCGTCGGAAGCTAAATTAGCGAGTCGTCTTTAAATGGCCGGCTTGAAGCGACATACACCTGTCCGTATGTTAAATTAAACTAACAGTTTTTTTCATTGTTTTTCTACACTCGACCGGATGGTATGCTTCAACGCCTACACTTTTTTTTACACCACCTTCTAAAACTTTGGAGATTACATGATCAATATCTTCTGAACTTAGATGAAACGGTAAAAGTTTTAACATTTTTTCTTTACAACGATCGTCCGATTAATATTGGCCGTTTCGATTAAAATCAAAATGTTATTGTTTCAGCACCATAAGATAGCATGGGAGGGAAAACTGGTTACCAGTGGAGTCAGCTCCAAAGCTTTGCCCAAAGGCGATGACTACCTCCTATTCTCTCGTCCCGCTAGGTCCAGCGCTATCACTATTTTCCTTCTCTCCTACCTCTGTATCTAATTCTCGCTCATTATCAACCCATGGCCTAATAAATTCTATGGTTTCATCCGCGGGATTACGGGTTAAACGTTTGTGATAGTCGTATCTCCAAGACGCTGGCCCAGCTCTCTTACATTACGCAAAACTCTAGCTCCCTTACATTCCTCAACCTCACAACGCGACCACCATAATAATAATAATAACAGATAAGTAAACACTGTTTTCCGTCTCCGCATTGCCCAATAGTACGTCTGGCGGGTGATGGGTACGTCCTGCAACTAAGCGATATGATACCTGTTGCATCAATAAGTATGGGTTTGTTAAAGAATAGAGTAATCCACTGGCGATGAACTAGCAACTAAGGAGCATCGCGTGAAAGAAAATAACCTTGTATTGTAGTCTGTAGTCATTTATCACAGGCAACGTTCCTCTAACTATAATAATGTTATTAATTTTAGCTTACATAATTCACGTTTACCACATGGTCTGCTATTGAACCGAATTTCGTTTCAGTTGCCAAGACTGAAGTTTTTATTAATGCACTAAGATATTGTTGCTATTCTTGTTTTTCTTGGATGATCGGGAATTCCCCAACTTACTTGCCAGGAATATCGTACTAACAATATTTCTGGGAAATTTTTTTCACGAAAACAGGTACGTTCAATGATTCCAAATTGTAAATACATTACTTGAAACGATAGGTATCGAAGAATTTTCTAACTTACTCAGTCGGAAACAACTCTACAGAAATTCCTATTTTCAACATACCTGAAATCGTAAGTCAACCAGAGAAAAGATAGCTGAGACACAGAGTATCAATTACGTTCCGCTAATAAAAACCTCAAAAATGTAGGAATTTGGCATGGGCCATAGTTATGCACTTGGGCAAAACAAATTATATTAGTGTCTTCACAACTACATGGTCAAATGTTTGTAGTACTGTATATGCTGCACTATGTTTATTCTGTGGGCAAGGGAAGTTAAAGTTAGTTGCTGGGAAGCATTGGTTTGTAAACTAGTTAGACGCTGAGCTAATTGTTGAATATTTTGGATATGGGTTTGAATGTCGGCCCTGTTAATCTTATATATTGGCAAAAAGTCTATTAAGCAAAGAGTTTTAACACTGTTATATGATGCAATACTAACTTTTAAGAAGAAAATCAAATCAATGCTCTGGTTGAGACATTTACCCCAATCGTGAAAATGTCTTATCGAAACAATTAACCTTTCCCATTATTATTATGTTTAGTTTGTCCAACCTGCCAAGGGTCCCAACCCTTTACCTTAAAACGCGGCTGAGGGCTCTCCATGTACGGACTGGACCAACCCTGAATCTTATTTACGATTACATAGCATGTCCCGCACTATTTATATTATTATTTATTATTGGCTTTGATGAAAACGTGGCGTAAAATTCTGATTACGTATACAATTGATGACGCAAATTCAAGTGTCAAAATTCCGTCATAGACGTAGAATTAAACTCTCACGAGGCGGAGCAGATATTAATATAAATGATCAGAATGATTCTGCCATGTCTCCAATACAACAATGGCAGATTCAATTACGAAAATGGTGAGTTCTGGACCGGAAACAAAATGACTAATGAATAGCGGATGTCAATTATTGTGTTAACGAGAACGTTGCCTGTTTAGTTGGAAGAAAGCGGAGATCCTCGTGGCCCTCTTAGCGCCCTGAATCCGTTTACTACGGCTGATTTGCTTAACTCGGTTGATACTTCATTACTAAGCAATGCTGTGGATATGTGAGTATGATTACAAGAGTACAGAAGTGAGAAGCATAGTGTGGATGCAATATGAATGTTAAATTGATACAGACTGTCTTTCAATATTTACAGCAAACATGACGGGAATGAATGGAAGGCTATTGTCAAGCTTCCCGGAGTTCCCAAAGAGGCTGTTAATGTAAAAGATTTGTTCCATCTCAATAGTAGTAGTACTAGTGTGATAATAACAACGACATCTTACAATACTTCCCTTATTTAGACCAGAGTAGAAGGCAACAACCTCCATATATCGGCCGACATTGAACATAGTATTCTTGCTGGTGGACCTGACATCACCGTTGAATCGAACCAGACTAAGAAATTTTCTCATTCTGTCGTTATTCCTCCGCAATATAATGCGGACAAGTTGGAGACAAGATTTGAAAACGACACTACAATCATCACTATTCCTAAAACATAAAATGTTACGAGATTGAATTATTTTCGTGTAATAATAAATAAAACCTTGATTTAAATTAAATGCTCACAAGTATTGAAGTATTGATCAGAACAGTGTCAATCGATTTGCGTGAACGCCTAAACTCATTTATTTTATTTGTTTTCTTCCATCTGCTCTGGACATGTGTAGATGGTAAACGGTCAAAGAAATTCAAATACAAATTTAATACAAGTACATATCCCAGTTCCAAACATTTGCACTGCTTGGTTCCTCACTAATTTTAAGATAAAAGTCCTCTTCGCTTTGTCTTAATGATAATAACACATTTGTTGATATTTTTACAAAGTTCTTCCATTAAATTGATTAATTATTATTTAAATGATGGCGTACTGAGTATTATAAACGTTCCATTAAACCCCCCCTCCCGAAAAAATTTCATAATTCATAAAAAAGATTGTCTTGTTTTTTTGTTTTGTTGTGTTTTTTTTTTCACTCTTCTGATTCCTGTTCGTTTGTGGCCAGCTTATAAAAAGAGCCCTTCTTGGCCAATAGTTCCTTATATGTTCCTACTTCAGCTATTCGGCCATTTTCTACTACCAATATTTTATCAGCATTCTCGACAGTGTTCAAATGGTGAGTTATGATCAAAGTAGTGCGTCCCTTCTGCACATGAGTCAAAGTATCCTGAATAAGTGCTCGGTTCGTAGCATCCAACGCACTTGTAGCTTCATCGAGAATGAGAATCCTTGGATTACGCAAAAGTACTCTCGCAATAGCTAACCGCTGTTTCTGTCCACCAGATAGCTGCGATCCACCGGATCCTAATCTTGTATCATACCCATTCGTTAACGAGCAAATAAACTCATGCATATTAACCTGCATTGCTGCTGTCTCGATCTCATCCTTCGTAGCATCATCTTTACCATAAGCGATATTTTCGGCAATAGTAGCATCAAACAAAACTGGTTCTTGACTAACAATACCAATCTGTTCACGAAGCCAATGCAAGTCCAGTTCGTCCACATTTACATAGTCAAGAAGTATAGATCCTCCGTTCGGTTCATAAAACCGTTGGAGTAAGGAAGCAACAGTTGACTTGCCGTGACCACTTTTGCCTACTAATGCAACGGTTTGCCCTGGTTGCATGCTGAAGCTCATGTCTTTAAGAACCAATGCGTCTTGGCGACCTGGGTATGAGAAGAATACGTGTTTAAATGTTATTTCACCTTGGACTCTGTTTAAACGCGAACCTGAAGTTGATGTCAATGGGAGGCTGAGTATTTGAGCGATCGAACGAGCTGCTGTTTTGCTTTTTGTAAGATAAGGGACTGAAACGATAGAGTTTATTAATATTAATAACCATATAGTATATCGTATATGTGGATTGTGACAACTTAATTCTGTATACTTACTTGTTTGGAGCATTTGACTAGCGGCATTGGTACAGAAGATAACGAGTGTCCATACGATGAGCATTCTCTCTAGATCGTAGTCACCTCGAATGATGAGGATGGCTCCATACCAGAACGTAACACCTAGAACGTCAAATAGTTACATAACAATGAGTCAACGTAAATCAAATGTACAAGTTGTTATTCACTTTATATGATTTCTTTCCTACTCACCTTTGGTAACATATTGTAGACCTTCCATTGTTGCATAGAAAAATCCGTTAACTGCCGCTTTACGAACACCCACTCTGTAAGGTTTTTGTAATGCTTCATCATATTTTTTTAACATTGCACTCTCGATACAAAGTGAAAACACCGTCCTAATACTTGCAATGGCCTGGTAAAATGCGTTGGCTGCGTCTTCATCAGATGACTTTCTTTTCTTTTCGTATTTCTCCAATATATACCCTTGTAACTGGGTCGTAATCATTATAGCAGGAACAAAACTAAACCCAACCAATGCCAATTGCCATCCTTTCACAAACGCCCAGATCATACCCCCGAATAATGATACTAATATATATATCATGTTTCCAGAGAAATGCCCGACGATTGTTTTGGTTGACTCGGTATCAACAATGAGTTTCGTCGCTACCTTTGCAGTCGAATTCTCAGGTTTGTCGAACCATGATTGAGGCTGTTGAAGTACTCTGGCGAATCCAAGTGATCGTAGCCGTACTGACCATTTCTCGGACGTTCGCTCCAAAATATAGTACTTTAAGAATGCTGATATACCATTTGTAATAGCTAGGGATAATATTAAGAGCGAGAACATGCGAGCACGTGATTCTATTTCTTGTTTGTCAGGCAGAGAATAAGATGCTAGTAGTTTAGATAGTACAAATGAGAATGCTGGCATGACAGACCCGTTGGCAATCGATGCTAATAGACCACATGTCCATAAACGCCTATTCTGAAATGTGCTACGTATTAAAGTGGGAAGCGACATTGTCGGGTACTCTGGCTTATTAGCATTGGCTTCGTTAGATATTATTATTTCGTTCAGATTTATACCATCTTCATCATAATAACTGAGAACACCAAAGTAAGACGCACGATTATTACGCCTTGACACCGCATTAGATGCGCTTTTTTCGAGTACATCAATGGCATTCTGGTCGAAATAGTCTTCGTATAGATGAAGTCTTAGAGATTTTGGAGACAATCCCGTTCCGTCTGTCAAAGTGTCGTTACCGCGACGAATACTGGAAACTCGTCGAAGCCTCAGATCTATCTTTTGTAACTCAGCTGTTCGTCTTTTAACTTTGCCGTTCGTTAGTTCCTTTGATAGTCGAGTGTAATGGCTATCCTTATTGAGTAGTAGTTCAGCTGGAGTGCCACTTTCTACTATTTCACCTTGATCAAGTACGTATACAAGATTATGTGGATGAATTTGACTGAGTTTATGAGTAACAACAATGGTAGTACGTCCTTTGCGTGAGTTTTCCAGAGCTTTCTGTACCAATTTGTCGGAAGTTGTGTCTAGGGCGCTTGACGCCTCATCGAGAATGAGTATCTGTGGGTTTTTAATTAATGCACGTGCTATAGCCAATCGCTGTTTTTGCCCACCGGAGAGAGTTTGACCTCTATCTCCGAGTTGAGTATCATAACCATTTGGTAGCTCCTTTATCATGTCATGTATACAAGCTAATTTACAAGCGGCTACCACATCGTCCATAGTTACGTTCCAATAATCACTCTTCCCGTATGCCACGTTCATGAAGATTGTATCATCGAAAAGAACAGGCTCCTGATTGACCACACCTATTTGCTGCCTAAGCCATGATAAATTTAGTATTCTGATATCCCTACTATCTATGGTAATAAGTCCTTCCTGAGGATCATACAAACGTTGAATCAGTTGAGTTATTGTAGACTTGCCAGATCCACTCTGCCCAACCAGTACTGTTGTTCTACCAGCCGGTATGTGCAAGTCTATATTTCGCAATACAAGCGTATCCGGACGACTTGGATATGCGAAACTGACTTGTGCAAACTCGATATTGCCATCACAACGAGATAATTTGAACCCCCTCAGCGCTTCCAGATCCAATAGAGCTACTTTTTCAAGCAGTGTATTAATAGCTCTGACAGCATTCTTTGCTTTAGCAAATACGCCTAACCGCGGTATTAGTTCTCTCATGGCACTTGCTGCTTGTAAACATGCATAGAACACACTCAATACGCCACCAGGGGATAGCTTCTGATCGGCGACCAGGATAGACCCGTACCAGAATCCCTGCACAAATAACGATAATAACAAAAACTGTGAAAGACCAGTGCGTGTTCCGTATATACGAGCCAACTGTTTAGAGACCGAATTGGCTTCCTTTAGACATTGATTGTGCTTCATTTCTTCCTTTGATTCTCCATTGAAAGCACGCACAGTCTTTATTGCCGAGAGCGCATTCTCTAATATACTACCTGCTTTGAGGAATATGTTTCTCTCCTCGACTATGGCTGGGGATGCTGCTTTATCAGTTAATGCGAGGACAACCACCATCACCGGTATTCCCGATAATACTACGAGAGTGAGTATAGCATGCTTCGAGAATGCAAGTACAATACATCCTATTGCGGTAGCTACATCCTGTAGGAAAAAACCCATATTCTCAGATATAGTTACATGAACGTCATCAGCGTCTTTGTTGAGCGAGACGAGTAGTCCACCTGATGTTACGTCTTCTCTCTCGTAGTGTGATATCTCCATTCTGAGCAATGATTTGAAGTAGGTAGCTCGCATTCTCTTTGTCTGTCTCTCAGCAGTCCAACTCCATATAAAAATCATTCCATATGACAGCATAAATGTTCCTATAGCTAATGCTATGAAATAGTATAATAGAGTGTCTACTTTTTTCCTGAAAACAGTGTCTGTTATTATTCCGGTTTGTCGATCTGTAAATACGTTAAATAAATTACCAAGCAAATATGTCATTAAGGGGAGGATGAGGCCATTAGATAGACTACAGAAGATAGCAAATGTCATGAGTAAATAATCAAATAGAGCTGCAAATCTAAATATGTGAAATATTGAGGTTCTTGTTGCTGTCAGCGGGGCATGCTGTACTGGTTTGTATATTGATTTTTTGCGTAAATAGACCGGCTGGTCATCAATCGTATTCAGTTGAGGGGGTTCATTATTATCATCTGTATAATTTGTTACATCCTTTGATTCTACCCGTGAGTCTACCAGGGTTTCACTAGTCGATAATAGAGAGCAAACCTGCGACTCTCTAGTGCGGTGAGTAGTCGATGATGTTGATTTTGTTGACTTAGTTCGTTTGTGGTCCATCGGATTGTAATATAATTAATACAGATGATAAGAAAAGATGGTTTATAAGAGTGGACTGGAAAGTGGGTTGAAGATGAAGTGAATGTTGAATGATTTATAAAACGCAGTAGCACAAGATAAGTAGTATATATATATAATGATAATGGTATTTTGATATCCATACTTGGCGGGATTAACTGATATGGGTATCAAATACACTTAGTATTGTACTGATACCTAGCCGGCTCAATTATCGTATTGTTCTTCTGCCGTATTGTGTGACAGCCACATCAAACGTAATGACCGCAGCCTTGTTACCAAATAAATAACATTGATATACTGTAAGAATGAGACCCTTAAGAACATTGCCTTTCGGTTGACAAAACTATACTAGCCCATTTCATGCTGTCTACGCAAAGTTTAACAAGCAAAAGTATGTGAACCTGGCAAAGAAAAATCGGATGCATGCAATTCGAAACAAGGACTCTCCCTAAATGCATCATTCGGGACATACGGCAGGTTCTCTTATTCTATAAGTGCATTAAATTACGACCACTGTTAACTTTGAAATAATATTGTTTATTCGCACAAAAGAGCAAGTTTCATCGGAATATAGTAATAAATAGTTGAATAGCAAAGGTTAATCGTAATGTGTCACAATATAAATACCACCCTTGAAATTGAATCCAATATGAATAAATAAAGTTAGTCTTTACTATGCATATCGTATCCCATATAGGTTCATCAGGCCAAAGCCTGACCCTCTGTCAAATATTTGAGCAAGATATTTCTGGCACCGTTCGTGTCCCGATCCATCTCCA